TTAGCTTGCTGCCGAGGGCATAATGACTATTTTTACTCTCTAATAACACAGGAGCCAGGCAGTAACACCTATAGTGTTGAGCCTTCAGGCTAACACAGACAGCGTAATGGCAGTGCGAACCTGGTTTTGCTCTTTTTTGCAGGTGTTTCACCTCATAAAGAAGGTATTTTATGGGAAGTCCAGTCTTTGTAGACGTTGGAGGAATATAAATTACCGTGTTTGAAGATGAAGACTGACTTCACACAGAATCTCTAATGCTTCCTTCGGATTGGTAGCCAATGTGAAGGCAGAATAAAACATGAAATGTAGTTTTCCCCAGCCAAATATGATGAAAGCTCTAACAAGCAATTAGTCATTATAACATAAAATAAGCTGGTAGAATTTCTGTAGCTACTTAGTATAACTAAGCCCCTGCTGCCCAGTTATGCTATTCTGATATTTCTTTATCAATGAGGATGACTTGATCAGTCAGCTGTGTAAAGGGCCTCATGAGTCTGATTAGTACATTTCTCTTACACAGAGGCCTGTGTGTTTGTGCTTTAATTGCATGTGTCTACGTACTCCCAGTGGCTCCATCCCCTTTGGCGTTCTCTTTTTTTCCCCTCTCTCTCCTACCCTGCAACACAATAGATCCACAATCTGGCACAGCTTTGTGGTTGCTTTTAAGAGGTGCACGCCCTTCTAGTCCCATGACGGTGGAACATGCTGCTTCTCTTCTTGAGGCGAAATCATTTCACTTTTCATGAAAATTTGCATTTCATCACGTCACATGCAGGTGTGTTTCTTTGACCTCTGCTGTCTGATGATCTCTCTGGAATATTCTTTTCCATTAGCATACAGTGCATTGCCTCTGTCCTTTGAAAACATGAGCCGTCTGCAGTTTCGGTAGATTTCCTATAAGGCCTGGAGCGTTCGCCTGTTCAACCTCTATCTCAGTTGGGAGAACATGCTTCAACATGGCTTGAGTATCAGGTGGTGCGTTATGGCTGGCTGCAAGGAGCACTGGCAAAATTGGAAATGAGATGCGTGCGTATTTGTGTGTTGAGGCTGTGAAATTGTCCAGACCTGTGTGTGAATAATAGCCCAACAGCTCTGTGCTATGCAGCAAATCAATGTGGCTCTGTGCCAGGCAACAGCAAATATCTCTGCCTCCCTCGTTTGCGTTTCTCTCACTGTTTTTTTTTTTTTTTCCCCTCTCCCTCCTCCTGCTCCTTCTGCTTGGCACTTTTAATGCTTTGCATGCATATAACTGTTCAACATGAAAATGCCAACTACATATTCAAGAACCCCTGTTACATTATTGCTTATTTGGTTGTAGAAAATTGGTTTTTCCAACGTCCAAATTTACAGAGAGAGCTGATTTTCGGGGGAAGAACTGTCAGGATAGCAGGAAGGAGATTAACTCTTCCCACTACAAGAAAGCAGCGGAGAGTTAATCATAACCTCCATGGATTTTTGTCAAAAGATGAAAGTGAATTTGTCTTTTCATTTCCCTCCGACTCCCACTGAAGAGTAAAGTCTGAAGTAAATAATTAGCTACTCTGTCATTCATTATAGCATCTATCTCTGGCTTTGGTGTAATGTTCACTGATTAACAAAAATGTTCTCTGTAAATTTAGTGAATGCTTACAAATAAACAAAAGCATGCACTACCGCCTGACATGATTTGCATTGCTTTCAGTACCTTACTGTACATGCAGTTGCAGAAATAACACAGAGCTATTATGTCCCACACAAATAGGTGAAATGTAGAGTAGTGTATCGGCCTGCTAGGTCACGCAAACAGTACGTGTTGCAGAGACACTTTGTTTCGTCAGTGGGTCTCTTGACTTTAACACAATGCTCCATCGCATGAACGGCTGAGAGCCGACAGCTAAATATAGAATCTCCACACACCTTGAAGCTATCTATCTTTTTCGAGTCTCTCACTGTGCAGTGGCCTGTGAATGGAGATGGAGAGACAGACACGAAGGTGGGGGGGGAGCATGCCTGTTTGTCGTTATAAACTGCAACTCCACGTGAGCTGTGATTCACGAGGCCAGAGAATCCATTTGGTGTATTTTTTTTTCTTCCTCTTCATTCGCTTGCAATGACAATGCTAACAGTGACTAGCCTTCAGTGTTGCTGAAACACTGCTTTGGTATCTAGGGTCAACTCCAGCACAGAATGAGTAACCAAACTGATCCAGATGACACAGTGTGATATTGTTTAATGTTTTCCACTGGCCCCCAAAGCCCCAAAATACAGCTAAAGAAACAAGAAGTCTCATTGTCTGGAGCTGCTTTGTTGTGCCTAATTGGGCACAATTTAGCAAGATTTTGAGATTGTTGATCAACGGCTAGAAAATACTATTGTTAAATGTTTTCTAACTACAGTTAGAGCAAAGGTTAAGTTGGATTTCTCATTCGGTTTACATGCAATTGGACAATGGAAGGTGTTTCATTGTGGCTGGAAAATAAAATGAGCTGTTTGAGTCTTCTTAGTTTTATCCCATCTCTATTTTGTCTGCCTTTCTTCCTGCAGTGGGCTTTGCTTTCCCAGAATGCAAGACCCCAGGAGGCTAAAGTGAAACCTTAACAATGAGATGTTTTGAGCAGGACCAGAGATACAAGTGTCAAACCCAAATCCGTCCTTGGTTTTCTAATTGGGTTTTGTTACTAAGTCTTCAAAAAGACTTCCTGCCCTTGCAAATCCATCCCTGTGCTTTGGAGCCTATTGTTCTTAATCTCCTTTCCAGAGGGTCTCCACTAACTGTATCTTTGTAGATCACGTTGTTCTTACTTGATGCCACAGAAACTCTTTTCTTCGCCAGTGGGAAGGGAACTGAAAATAGAATTTTAGATGTGTACTTCTGCTCCACAGGGCCTCTGAGACCGGCTGTATCGATCTGTTTGTTACCTGATGGAGACCCAAAGCCTATCTCCCTTGTGCTCTTGACTCACTGGATTAGAGAAGCCCATGCAGCGGGATTCTGGCTGAGAAAACCAGAATGAACTATGTAACCTATATTCTTCCTTTACCACATAAGGCGTTGAAGATTACTAAGTAGCTGTCATGTTCAGAAGCAAGTGTTTAGCGAATCCTGAGCAGAGATCAAAAAGCAGAGAGGTGTGATTGATCTTTGAGTCTTGATTTGTCTCAGCTTCTAATCAGTGTCACTAAAGGCTGCGTCCTTGGTCAGATTGGAGGACAAGGCAGTGATCTCACCATGTTCAAACATGTTTAAACAGCCTTTGTTAAACCTAAGACTTTCTTATCAGAGGACAATCTGCCATAGCAACATTTGTTTTGGAGAAAGATAAGTTTGCAGATGACTGTTTTAGTTTAACCCATAAATGCAAACATCTCAGAGAAACCAGTAATTTGATATAAGCTTTGTCTAAGACTAGAAACATGGCAGCTTGCTTCCTTCTTCAGTAGTCTGCCTTCTTCATGTGCCCACACATCTGTCTTTTATTAATCTTATGACTCGGGTTGTTAGATCCTGTTAGGGTGAGAGAAATGTAAGAGGAAGTAATCAGACAACACTGTCATCTGAGGGGGGAAAAACCCAAAAATCAGATGTGACTGGACTAATTTTGTTAGTTCCTCAATCACATGAAGCTTTATCATCAACAGTGATCATGCACTATGATGTACTTTATCTTTAAAAGCCAGCCTAGGGTATGACCAGCCCATAATGTATGCTGTCATCTGGGTTTTGTGGTAGGATAAATCTTTTGAATTATTGGCTCTTCCTTTATAATGTCAGCTGTAGTCATCTGTGAGGAAATCCAGTCCCCACAGCTCACTAATAAAGACCTGTCTTTGATTAGCTTTTAAGAGATTAATAATCCACATTCGCCTGTCCAGTGTTAATAAAACTGCAACATATGGCAAGCTAAAGATGAATTATAAACTGGGTGGGCAGCTCACTGTGAGATAATAGGCTTGGTCGTGTGCAGCCCCAATTTGCCCTCCTTTAAAGTAGCCTAAAGCCACGCTTGGGGAGCGGAGATTAAAGGCCTTGGGTCACTGGGTTTTTGACTAGGGGCTCTGCGTGTTTGAAGGGCAGGCCTCGTAGATTGGATTGATTGGAGTCTTATTCAATAAAACCTATGCATCAAGATTATAATGATGGGATTCTCCTGATTACTGATTGGGTTAATCCTGTCTTTTCTAATAACTTTCTAATAAAATACAGCCTCCTGCTGATTGATGATTTGATTTGGAGAAAGGAGGCAGATGGGCGAGTTATGCAGACACGTATTTAAGTGATACTTTTATCTAGAGCTGCAAATAAAAGGCGAACAATTATGAACACTGGTTCTATGTGGTCAAATCACAGTAGTATTTTTCTTGTTCTTACAGTGCATTTTCAGTTCAGAGCACTTCAAGGCTAAATGCAAATAGTCAGTCAATGTGTGGGTTATGTTTTTTCCCTACTAACTCATCTGTCTGAAGGACCAATGAGCTTACACTATGGCGACCGTAATTTGTCCCTGCACAGTTCACAGGAATTGCGACTCCTCCTACAATATCGGTGGGATTGTAGTGAAATGTCGGAAAAATTAGAATATTTACATTTGTTAGCAATGTTGCAACAGCAACATTTACATTTGTTAACAGAGATGCTGCTAAATGAAACACTGTCAATTCTTTCTTGCCAAGTTGTGCTTCAGTCATCATCTTTCCTGAAATGTAAGCTATGCTAGCTAAACTGCTAAAGCAATGATGTCATGCTCCACTGTAACCCATTAAACTAGTTTTTCAGTCACATATACCTCTTAAATCCTGGAAGTAGGTCAGTTTGACTAATACAAATTTCCTGATTTGCCTCTATCTAAAGGAATTACTAGGATTAATACGATACACAGTCACACAGAAAATCCTGCAGCGGCTAGTCACGTGCAGTATAGGCAGTCAGAGAGAGGAGAGAGTGCGCTGCAGCTGCAAACAAGGTCAGATTCAGTGCCTCAGGTGATTTCAGATTACCGCCTGCACTCGAGCTGTGAGGCAAGATGAGAATCAGAATGCCCATCCAGCGGGTACAGGATTGAAAATGAAATCTGTAATCATGAGGTGATTATTTTGAGAAGCGAAAGTGTAGCCTAACCTAGATTCTGCTGCAGTAAAGGTCGCCGTGTCACTATGTGTTTGTGGCTTCTGCCTTGGAGGTTATAGCAAATTAGGGTCAATATAGCACTTATATTAATGAAGCAGTCTGTTTCATATTGCACAAACTGCTATTCACAACCTTTAAATAGACTGCCTCTGATACAATGTAGAGGCTTTAGCTCATAAGTTCTCCATAGTTGTTTAATCTTCATAAGTTCATCCCTTTCATGCAGTCTGCAAAATCAAATAATATCTGTTGACCTTTCTTTACTCTGTTATGATCTCCTAAGGTATTAAGAGCATTAGAATACAGGATCTCGTGATTACCCAGACACTTGTGCATTTGCTCTACTTTTCCTGTTTGGTTTTTCCATCTGTGGAGTCACTGCAGAGTACATGCAGGCCAATATCCTGCAGCTAACAGAGGAGAGAGGGGGAGGAAATGGGGGGAAGACAGGATCACGCAGCCCAGATGGAGCCTGACTGATTATCTCTACAGAGCAACTGCAGTACTTTTGGGGAGGTTTTTGAGCCTCAGCTAAACCACAGTAGAAGAGATCATTGTCGCTCTGGAGAGGTTGAATCACAAATAAACTTGTGTCAGTCACAAACCTGATAGATGAAAATGAAAATGTCAAGTGATGCTTCATACACAAATCTCTAAATATTCTTAACAACCCCATGACACTATAGTTTCAAACCAGCAACTCTCTCCTCTTTCACTGTATCTCCAGGCCTTTGGACAAGCCTACTCCAACCACAGGAAGGTGGCGGCAGATGGAGAGAGCCGAGAAGAGTCTCTGATCCAGGAGTCGGCCTGTAAGGAAGCCTACTATGAGCAGAGAGTCCTGGAGCTGCAGAACGAGCTCCGGCAGACACGCAACATCCTCACCAACACCCAGTCTGAGAACGAACGCCTTAATGCCATCAGTCAAGATTTTAGAGAGGTAAAGGGAGAACCAAAATCCCCCCACTGTTCTGTTTCTATTTTCTAAATAATTTTGAAATTGGTTTGTTGTTTGATCAGATGTCCCTAATCGTCTCTTCAGCACTTCAGTATTGCAGTAACTTGCAGAAACAATATTGCTCTAACCTGCTTTTTAGAACAGCTATTTAGAACATTGAGGGTGTCTGTTGATCATTTATCACCTGATGCATTTTATCTTTCTGCAAAAGCTGCATAAAACAAACAGATATTCTTATTTAGCCGTATCCTGGTATTATTTTTCTCCAGAGTAATCATTGTGCTTTTCATTTTTGCATTAGTTTCAGTTGGTTGTTGAGACTTGTGATGTACACCTACAGTACCTTTATTTGATTGACATTGCTGTCCAATCCTCTGTTATGCAGGGTGTAATTGGAGAGTCTGCTTTTTGACATGCCAAGACAAGATTAAACGTTCTCTAATGACTAGAAACACCTTGCCTTTAAGCCTAATGTGTTGTCCTTTGCACCTAATGCAGTCCAGGGTGGAGTTGTTTTTTTTTACAGGAAAATACTGAGACCATGGGAAATATGCTGTGTTACAAAAGGATTTTGAATAATTGAATAATTATTCTATTAAGGCTTAATTTGTGTGAATCACTGCACGGGACTGCTGCCTTAACTCTGACATTAGTAACATCACTCGTTATAAAAACCCCACCTTAGACAAGCCCTTTTCTGATAACCAGAAGCACAAGGAAGTTGTTTCTCAAAACTGAGCACACCCTTTGCACATTCCTGCACTTTATCATACATATCATTATAGAAACCTTTGTATTTGTCCCAATTTGGGCAATGTCTCCCACTTTTACTGTTTCAATTTACATATACTCACTGCTAATTTGCCCTCATTAGAAGAGACAATTGCACAGCAGATAGTGTATGTAGTTCATGTTATTTGCCAATGGTCATGTATGTCCAATGTTGTGTGACTCAGTTGGTGAGGAGGAGGTTAAAATTACAAGAGTGGACTTTATATTTAAATCATGCTGCGCTTTAGGGAAGGACTTTTGACACAAAGACGGGAGACATGAAAGTAAAAAACCAGTAACAGAGGCTGACAGGAAGGCAGAGGGAAGCTTTCACCATTCTAGCTCCCCGCTCCCTTGACGGGCAAATCAAGGCTGGAATACTAAAGAGGGAATCTTAAGTCACAAGTTGTTTGAAGAGTTTGGCTTCGTGTCAAAGAAAGAAGCGGAGTAATGCTAATGCTAATTGCATGCTGATTTGAAAGGGGAATTTATTTGCACTCACAGCTCTAGGTTGGGTGCTTCACATGTCAGAGAGCACTTTCTGCACACTCTAATTTATTCGGAGTGCATTGGTTCCAAAAATACTTTTCATTTTGAAAGTTAAAAGATCAGTGTTAGCTCTATCGCTGGTTCTATCCCATTCACCCAAATGACACCTTAGGATAGGATTCAGGAGGTGGATTGATAGATGTATGAAAGATTAGTGTTGCTATATCCATACATATATCTCCACTCCAGCACTGTTCAACACTCAACAATAGACCTATATTCTGCAGTGTGATATTAAGGATGTCTGGTTTTGTTTCTGTCTGTTCTGATAGCTAATGGCACCTAATCTTGTTGTGTTTGTGCACAGCAGATTTAGCTGAGTCTGCTGTTTTGCAGGTCAAGTTGGTAATTGGGAGGGTGAAGGACTCCCCTCCTGAGTCCCAAGACTTTGGTAGACATCTGCTTGACACAGATGTCAGCAGTGTTTCTTCCTCAGATTAGTGAAAGACTTAAAAATGGCATGTCCCGCACAACGACTTAAGTTCCAGAAAGCTCTAAATTCCACTATAATTAGGTCAGCTGCTGCTCAGCTCTGCATCTACACTGGTATAATTTGAACGTTATCGAAGACAGATGTGCCCCACTAGAAATGTTTTTGTAACAGAGGAGGAGTTCCCCTTTATGAAACCTTGCTCCAGCTTCCATTCATTCATCAGTTTCCAGCTTAAATATAATTACTGATAACATGCTTCTTAAATCTTTAGTTGAATCTTTGAGAGAAAAGCAAATACAGCCTTTGCTGCATGTCGCATGTACAGCTGTAACTGGTGTTGCACTGGTGGTCTCCTTGGCCTTTCTGCAGGTGCCATTCCCTTTATAAACACTCTGTTGCATAGCAATGGGCCCCGGACAGTTCTAATTGGTTGGATAAAAGGGTCTAGAGTGTAAATCACACCATGTATGGGAGATAATGATGCCCTTCCAACTGTACGTTGGTGGGTGCTAGGAGTGTGTCTGGCAGGCAAATAGAGGCAGCCTGGGCACTGAGGCTGGCATTGTGAGTGGACTGACATGACTGAAAGAGGCCTTTGTCTCTTGGATTTCAAATTAGCCCCAAAGCGCAGGCTGGGAGAGGAGGAGGAGAGCCCTTGGAGATGATAAGAATGGTATGAGAGAAAGACAAGGGGGCCTAAAATCCGTTAGAGAACGAGAAACGCTTAATGGGACTAAATCCAAGGAAAATTGAGGACTGTCCTGCTTTTCCCAGACTGCATGGCTAATCAAATTGAGAAAGGAGTGTGACTGAATGACTCAATTTTTCTTTCTTTTTTTCATGGAATGCAGCTGACAGTTGGGTTATAGGCCTTTGTATTTGTTTTAAAGTGAAGTTTATGTATTTTATTTTATTTTTTTAGTCTTGCAATTCTATAAGGTTCCTCTGAAAAGCTGTTTTATTTGGAGTGGAATTAAGATCACTTAAAGAATTACAAAATGCATGAGAATCACAATTTCAACTATAAGAAAAGCATCACAGTCCATGAATGTGGAAGCATCACTCATTATAAATGGATTTTGCCTCTCTGTAGAACAGTTCATTTATAGCCATTTTAGTTGCTGGTTTTCAGCCCGTTTACATGCCACACATTTAAGCCTACCAGGCACTCTCCCATGCCAAAGACTCAAATGTTAGCCCAAAGCACTGATAAGACACATTTCAGTGCTACACTGCAGTCTACAGGATTATATCCACACAAAGAGCCAGTACCATTGTGGGGAGGCGCACTCTAATAGGCATGACTTCATTAAATTCAATCTCGTGTCATGAGAGGAATGTGCCTCCGACGATGCCTCACAGAATGGGAACCTCTATTGCATGCCTTTCAGGAAATTATCAAGCAAAGATGAAGAAAAAAGGGTGAAAGTGTAATTCACTCTATCTCTATTCGCTCTTTAGTCTTGTAGAGTGTTTCCAGCACAGCATTATTGTGCTTTCAGTGATTGCTTGTAGTACACAGTTTCTTTTGCATGAGTCAGGATGTTGTGTTGACACACTTGCTTGTGCTTTCACTTCAGGTCTATTGTTGTGCTTTGATATTTCACATGCTTGAACCATCTCTCTCTCACTCATGAGTTGGGTGTTGTGCTGTTTTATCTGTTACCATGATGTGGAAGCCATTCAAATGTTAAACATGACTGCTTTTTCCACTTCATTGGCACAGTAAATGACATTAAGCATCGGCCTACCTCCCACCCCTTAATTTAAGTGCTGTTTAACTATCTGGATTAAACACCTGTCCGAGTAGTGGGGGATTAAGAAAAGGGAGGTGTCTGCACTGATGAGATGAGATTGAATAGGTTGGAAGAGGGTAGAGGGTTATGCTCAGCCGGTTGAAGATCTCTGCTAAAACAAATAGAAAATAAAACACATGCTTTTCAGTGGTGCAATAGTAGAACAGAGCCTTTGATGCAGGATGTTACAGCTGTGCTGCAGTTTTACATTGATTATTGTAAGGTCAGAGTTGAGTGGTATAGCGATCCAAGAGGGGATGCTCTTTGTTCGCCATTATCATCTGACATGAGGTTAATGGAATAGGACTCAAAGAGGGCTCTGCGGTGTTGGTGTTGACTGCCCTATTTTTTCTTCTTACATTAATGCCAAGACAGATCGACTCTTGTCCTGCTGTACTGACAAGATAGGGAGGCTATATGCTAGGAAAAGGTTTAAAAAATGAGTTCTCAGAAAATAATCAGTAGTAGAAGAGGTGTGAAAACACCAAAGACAGAAGCCAGATTGACCTTGATCTTTTTACACAAGCCATGGTTACTACTGCTGTCACAAGTGATCTACATCCTAGTCAAACCCTCCAGATATTATGTGGGTTAATTAGAGAAACAACATTATCACTTTAGCTAGCTGCTTCTCTTCTAGACTCAGGCTTTCTTAGGGAGCATCTGATGCATCTGGGTACTTTCACATTTGACAATGAAATGGCAGATAAATTTGCCTGAATCTTTTTGTGAAGTTATGACATAAAGCTTTGAACATGCATTCTTCATTTAAGCTTTAATTCCAAGCACCAATCAGGTTTTTCATGGTAGATTAAAGGATGTTAATAAATCAACAACAAACCCATTGGCCTACACGTTCACTTAAACTAATGGGTGTAAACACATTTGTTCACTCTTCTGCACTCTCATCCATATGACCTCAAAAACACTAATTCACTGTACACCCTGTGGCCATTTCCACAGTGTCACATTGTGCTAAGTACCACCAGCCATTCATTCCCCAGGTTCCATTCACATTTTAGCTTTTCACAGTCTGAGTGAAAAGTGTGACCTTGGCTGTGTTTTTGCTCCCTAGTGGAGTCTGGGTAAGATGAAGAGAATGACAATTGGTTGCAGCAGGAAGGAGGATAAAAGCAGTTTTACTTTCACCCACATTCTTGGTGTCGACAGCAGTAGGATGCCCTTAGGCTTTATTTTTCCTTTGCTGTGTTTGAAGTTATACTGGGGGGGGTTGCGTTCATCTGTGATTTATTCTTCGTCTCTTCTTAAGAGATGGCTTTGGCTGCAAGTTTAGTTAGACTAAACATGAGCTGACATGACCTTGAGTTACTTTAGAGACTGCAGGGCATTTAAAGTTTTTATTGTGTTCTTTTTAGAATCACTGAACTTGTCCAATCTTGGTTTTATCTGATAGAAAGATATGATAGGGCTAAAGTTTATCACACTGCCTCTTACAGCATTCTGGGATGCAAGAGCAGAGGTGAGGGTTAGAAAATGAAAGCAGCAGTTTTAGTGCAAAATGCAGATCAGTGGTGTCAGAAAAAGAAGCTGAGAAAGGGGGTAAAAAAAATAAAATATTATTAAGCTGATGTGCACTTTGCTTCAGGTCATCTGGGAGCTTCTCTGCACTTTGTGTATGTTTGTGGGGGAAAAAATGAATATGTGCAAAGTGAGGATATAGAGTGAAATTGAGGTCAGTGGAGTGAGTGTGTTAAGAGGAGGAGCAGAAAGAGGATAAAAAATATATTCATAGCAGGCCTGTCTGTGCTGTAATATAAATAATACAGCTCTGTGACATCTGGGAGTCTAGGCAACGCTTTCAGGGAAGCAAACCCCGGGTAAGAGACTAGTAAAAATGGATTTTGTTTTTCAGAAATGCAAGCTGGATTCTCTGGTGTTATTAAGAACACAGCAGGGCCTTTAACAAAGCATTAAAACATTCCTAATCTACACTTGTGTTAATCCGGAAACTTTGCGTCTGTGGCTTACCGGCTGATGGAACCATTTCTCATATAAATAGAGGTTAGAGTGGCTCAAACACATTTTGAAATTGCTCCGAGCTCTGGGAGATTTAAGTGGGCTCAGCCTTTCTATGCTGTCAAAAGCAGTTTACTGGTGACAAGAAAGCTCGAGATTTGAAATGGAGAGTTTAGACTGTCTAGCTGGAAGATGCTCTATGTCTCTCTATCTCTCTCTCTCTCGCTCCTGACGGTATGACCTTGAATGTTCACAACTCTGCTGTGTGTAGTCTGTGCACATGCACACACTACCCCGTCTCTGTTTTAAATATCTAATATATTGTGCCTTTGCTATAATTATGCAGCTTGGCTGAACGACCTGGTGTTTTTGCTGCCACCCACTTTGCATAAAGTGGCACATTTGTCTGTGCGTGTGTGTGGTACGCGGCTGTTGTTTAAGGCAGCTGTCCAGACATCACCTGTAGTGACAACAGTTACAAACCACACTTAAGCCCGTGATCACGGCGCCTTGTCACCGCTCTCCTTTGGCGGCACCACAAATTGCCTTCACAATGTCGCACCTCACAGCCACACACACCCACATTATTGTGAATTATCAAAAACATCCCCCAGGGAGCCTCATTTCTCTCTCCCAGTTAAATGTTATTTGTTCTTTGTAGCAGGAACACATGTGGCCACCACAGCCTTTACTTACATTTTCTGTCACACAGCCAGGCTGTTGCCCTGTTCTCAGTCTTTGGGGGGCTCAGTGTAGCAGAGGATGTAGAAGCAAGGTGAAAGGTTAAGACCCTGCCATGCATTTAAATCAGAATGGAGTGGGATCTTAATCAGGTTCAGCGGCAGCTTGTATTCATTTGGACCAAACAGCACTGACCCTCCAGCTGAGGCACATAACCCTGACAAGAAAGTGACCTGAAAGCCAGCTGACACAGCTCGTCTAAGCCTTAATGAAACATTTGAATCTTTTAATCTAATATTATTTTGAATTTCTCCAAAGCTCTTTTTTATTTTTGCTTTAATTTAGCTCTCGTTCAGAAGTCAGAACCACTCTGCAGAAGCTTAGTGGTAGGACAGAGCTCATGCATTATTTAGCAATGCACTGACATCAGGGCTTTTGCACAGCAAACACCCACACTCATTAGACATGCCCAAAACCCTGATGAATTTTAATGCACCTTCAAACGTCAGCTTTAGCCCAGGTCTGCAAAAAGTGATTAATTATTACAGAGGGAGAGGACAGGGTGTGTGTACTCGTCATCATTGGGGATTTAGCAACTTATTTGTTATTTTTTTAGTAAGCAACTAAATCCTATTTCCAAAAAGAATCACAAGAAATAGTCTCCTGAGACATAATATTGAGATGTTTTTTTGTTTGTTTGTTTTAGAAGGAGGAATTATTGTTTACTTTTAAAACAGTTTCATTATGTTATAAAGATATTGTACTCCGTTATGAGTGATGTGTTACTCCTGTAGGTCATTTCTCTCTGAAGGTTTCTGTACATATTAGACTAAAAGGTGTTATTACCTCACTCTGCTTCCATTACAAATCTCACTGATGTGAATTCAGTTTTGACATGATGCCGATATGAGAAAGTCTGCAAATAGAAAACCTGTCAGGAGTGACTCCTTTTATCCTGAAAGGATCTGAGAGCAAGGATTGTGATTTGGACACATGGCGACTGCATGAGAGGAAGGGGCCACCTGGCTAGGGATTGGGAGGCTAATTGTCCCTCTGGTGTTAGGTTATTGCTGCCAAGGGAAGGACACACATTACATATATACCAGCATGCAAACACACATGCAAATCCAAAACGTAGAGGCTGCTATTCTTGTCTTTCTGAGAAACGAATGTAAATATACGCAGATTCTTCTCCTGTTCAGGTGTGTGAGGATTGAACCTTTGTCTCCCAGTACTTGCATACATGCTCACTTAGTTGAAAAGTCACAGCGCCCAACAGCTGTTAGCGAGTGTCCACTTACTTCATCTGAGAACTGTGATGTTTATCACCTAAGTCCAGGTTACTCGTGCTTTGGAATGAATCAGCAGCAATAACAAAAAAGCATTAGACAAGCTAGTAAGGACATGGGTGGCTCAGCAGGGCTGACCGGATCCTTATGGCTTTTAGTTTGTTGGCGTCTTCAAGTGGGGGAAGGACATGCCGTTTACCTCTCTAACCCTTTATATAATTAATGGTGCCTTTTCTACACAGAAAGAGGGCTCAAACTGCATTTGGAAAACCTCATGCTATCATGCAATAATTGCTAAGCAATCACACTATTGACATAAGGACTTTTTGCATGTTTATTCTTTTTTCTTTTGTACCAGCATTTTGCTTTACTGGGACACAACTTAGCATATATCAGTATATCAGACAATTTTCCAATGAAATGTAGATAATTACTGCCATTTCTTGTTCTGGAAATGGTCCTTGTGTACTTCCGTACAGGGAATCAACCCTAATGAGACTCCTCTTTAGAAAATTAGACCACTACAGAGCTTTCTATCCACTGAAAGGCTGTCACCAGGAGAGATAAGTAGGCTTCAGTCTCTTTGGTGCCATCAGAACTGGCAGGCAAGCACACTTGTGGCCCGCTGCCCAGATAGACACCTGGCACCTCCCTCTCGAACACAAAGACACACACACACACACACACACACACACACACTTAGTTTGACCAGATGGGCGCTCTTAAAGTGTTAAAGAGCCCACGTGACACAAAAGGTTAAACTAAAGCAACAATATCCAGTCACTTGGCATCTCTCACACTTGGCCCAAGAAGATTGAAATAGTGGTCATTGACAGCTCTTCTTCTTCTCTCTCTGCCTATCTCCTCTGGCTTTACAGAGCAGCCAGATGGTGGAGCTCCAGAGGAATCAGCTGCGCGATGACATCAAGGAGTACAAGTTCAGGGAGTCTCGTCTGCTGCAGGATTACACCGAACTGGAGGAAGAGAACATCTCACTGCAGAAGCAGGTCTCCATGCTCAAGCAAAGTCAGGTGAGAAGAGAGCAACACTGCAGCTGTTCATGTCACAAGTCTGAATCATTTAAATTGTGTTACAGGAGGAATTATATTAGCAAAATGAAAAGGGATGGGTATGAGAGCAAAAATAAACTAAATGTGCCTTCACTGCTATCATGAAGCTCACTCTTTTGGTATATGTAAATGAACTAAAAATATTTTTCCATTATATTGCAGATACTTTAAAAGATCATCCTTAATTACACTGGTGACTTCAGGCATACCACCTACTTTGTCAACATACATTAACTGTATGCTGGATTTTAGTAGCCCTCTTACATACAAGCTCAAAAACTTTGCGCTTTAACATTCAGATTTAAGTGTGATATTAAAATCATCCTCAGCTTCTTGTTTTCCCATAATGTCTTGCTGTGGGAGCATTTGAAAGACTCAGCAGCTATATCAGAGAGTCTATCATGGCACAAAACACTTCCTGGGTTTATTCAAATGCCATGAAAGCTTAAAAAAAAAAAAAATCCTCTTTTTACATAAAGCGCAGCTATATTTACAGCATGGATATTTCCACTTGATGATGCTGTTTATGCCTGAGCTCTTGATCGTCTTCTTAACCCCTTGGATAGTGTTATATATTCATTAGACATGGCATGAATTATACAGATATTACTGCTGTTTAGGGAATGAAAAGGATTCCCAAATCAAATTCCCTTTAAAATCTAAATTAAAAGGAAAATCAGATGGATGTGTTCTTACCTAACATTATCTTGAGCAATTTTACAGCTTAGTGGCTCATTTTAATTGGAGCTGCTAATATGCATTCTGTGATTCTGAAACTCATGATAGTGGTTTCCTGTCCTCCCAGGTGGAGTTTGAGGGTTTGAAGCATGAGATCCGTCGCCTAGAGGAGGACACTCAGTTCCTTAACAGCCAGCTGGAGGATGCCATCCGTCTGAAGGAGATCGCTGAACGTCAACTGAGTGAGGCTCTGGAGACCATCAAGACGGAGCGTGAGCTGAAGGCGTCCCTGCGGAAAGAGCTTTCCCACTACATGAACATTGGTGACACTCTGTACAACAGGTAAATGGAACAGAAACCAGGTTCTCATACACTTCACAAGAGAAGCTCTTAATAACATACAGTTTTCACATTGTTTCTTCAGTCCTCTCAGCATTTCTCTGGATGGTCTCAAGTTCAGCGACGATGCTGCAACTGAACCTAACAACGACGAGGCTCTCCACGGATATGAGAATGGCTTCATCAAACTGGCCAATGCCATCACTGACGACAACCGGATCTCCATGCCTAATAAGGAAGAGCTTTTTCGTCCTGTGCCCAGCCTTGTTGATGACCTGCTCAGCGAACTTAACATCTCAGAGATCCAGAAGCTCAAACAGCAGCTGATGCAGGTTTGTGTTTCTGCATGAGAGCTTGTGTTTTCTGTTCACAATACAATATACGGTGGTCTGTTTTCATAGCAATGCTTTCTCAGCTTATTTCTCTTATTGGGTGTGAATCATTTTTATGCAGTTACGCACTGAATTAATACCAGGAAAGGCTAGAACGAAAGACATGCAATTCCTGTTTAGTGGCTCATGTAAGTGTTTTTTTAGACTTTGAACTATGACTGTTCAGTTGCCAGTTTATTAGCATCACTTAGATCAAAGTAATCTGATAGTTCAGCAATACTGGAAGTTATAATGTTCAACTTTTGAAATTTAGTTTGATTTTTTTTTTTTGTATTGTTTTTTGTTTTGTTTTGTTTTTACAAATAATCCTATTTTGTTCACTCTATTTATGTTTGTTGGCAAAATAGCAAAAGTTGAATATGTCTGTATAAAATGCAATTAATTCCCAAACATCTTTAAAATGGTTTTACATTTTTACAAGGTTTAAATTGTCACATTTACACTCGAGTTTATTGGAGGGCTGTGGGGATGGACTCCTTCAGTGTTAACTGGGTGTAGCTGACCTGAAATCTCAGTGTATATTTGGTTGAATGGAAGGTGTATCTTACAGTGGAGCGTTGTATCGTGCCCCAGTCGGCTGCAGGGATCTAAATCTCCTTACAGCAAAGTTAATCCAGGGAGACGCGCACACATATCCTGCTCCGTGTGACCCCAAGGCGGCGGGTGGTGGCACTGGAGGACCTGCCATCTGCTTGATCATCACTCCATGAGTCCAAGGCCACAACTGATTGGGCACCATGGTTACCAGAAAATACTAGTAACCTGTGGATAGTGGATAGATTTGATGCCTAAGGCCTAAGTCTTTTTTTTTTCTCCCTTCATCAAACATAAATATGGTTGCTGGATTAATGTGGGAACTTGAAGCCACCACAGTGCTGTTTATTGTAATGGACAGACTGTCAGACTGTGACAAAATCCCATGTTTGATTTGACCCAACAGTATATTATTCAGCCCACTAAAACCTTCTGACACATCACTTCACAGATTCCTGGCAGCAATCAGAGCAGAGGAAACAAAAAACATTCGTTCTCATTTAGTCAAACTCTGCTGCTCTTGTGTCTCAACTCATACTATTCTTATTTCTTTAGAGATAAATCCCAAACGTCCACTCATTGGAAGTTAACTTATTAGTCCTTGGCAATTCAGCATTTACGACAGATTCTGCAGGATAAGGATGGCCACTGCTATGCTGACTGCCCATAAACACTATTTCAAGCATTGGTGTCTCATAAAAGTTTTTAATGTGACCACTGATGTAAATAAAGGAGTGTTCTTGAGCACAACAAGCCACTCTGGTTAAGCATGCAGTCACTTTTAGAAATGAATCTTCACGAGCTATTGTGAAATAATAAATTATGTATGCAGATGAGCATGATACTTTAATATTATTTACAGAGCAGATTCCGAAATAGCTCAGTGCTTGCAAAAGCACAACTTTGTGTGCGTCTTTGTAAGATGACACGCCCAGGCTGTCTGCCAGCACTGAGCTGAACTGAGTCCAGCAGACTGTCAAGGTCATCCTGATTCTGATGTCAGACCTAGTGAGCGATATTCCTCTCATACATACATGATAGACAATCCAGATATATAACATGATTTAAAGACGAGTCCTTCATCAGATTAGCAAGTGCATGTGTTACAGGGCGAGGTCCTTTTGCTAATTGTGTCTCTGCATTTCTACTCAGATGGAGCGTGAGAAGGTCAACCTGATGTCCACTCTGCAGGACTCCCAGAAACAGCTAGAGCAGGCGAACGGTGCTCTGTCAGAGCATCAGGAGAAGGTCAACCGCCTCACAGAGAACCTCAATGCCATCCGCAAGCTCCAAGCCAGCAAGGAGCGCCAGTCTGCTTTGGATAATGAGAAAGAACGTGATAGCCACGAAGATGTAGACTATTATGAGGTTGACATCAACGGACCTGAGATCCTGGAGTGCAAGTACAAGGTAAATGGCATGTGGTCGTATTAGGCAGCGCAAAATGTCTAATTAAATTTGAAACCTGCAGGAAAATTAAATAGGGTGAAGTCCGAAAAATGTCGTGCATTTGGGTTTCATTTACACTCGCATTGCTTCTCTAGGTTGCGGTGTCAGAGGCAGGAGAGCTGAAGGAGGAACTGAAGACCCTGAAAGCAGAATACCAGGCCTGTCAGTCACGTTACGAAGAGGAGCGCACTCGTCTGGCAACCGATGTGACAACACTCAAAGAGAACCTGACAACTCTGGAGAAGACCAGCCATGCAGAGAGAGAAGAGAAAGCCAAGCTTGAGAAAGAGCTGCGCAAGGTGAGGTGTTTCTCTAGACATGTTTATTTTGATGTTTTTATATATGCCTTATTTTAAAAAAGCTTTTTCATTTTTTGTAGTGAAATAATGCGTTTTTTGTTTTTTTTGGTGTGTTCTCAGTTGAGCGACGTGGCAGGCGAGTCTCAGGGTAGTCTGAGTGTGGCACAGGATGAGCTGGTCACCTTCAGTGAAGAACTGGCCACCCTCTACAACCATGTCTGCATGTGCAACAACGAAACCCCCAACCGCGTTATGCTCGACTTCTACAAAGAGGGTAAGGGTGGTCGGAGCAGCCCGGAAGGCCGCGGCCGCCGCTCTCCCATCCTGCTCACCAAGGGCCTCTTCCCTGAGCCCAGTAAGACCGACCTGAGCGATGGAGCACCTTCCCCGATCTCCTCCCTGCCTTCTCCTGTGTCTGACCACCGACGCGAGCCCATGAACATCTACAATCTGGTTGCCATCATCAGAGACCAGATTAAGCACCTGCAGCTGGCAGTGGACCGCACCACCGAGCTGTCACGCCAGAGGGTTGCTTCTCTGGAGCTGGGCACTGTGGCCGACAAGGACAAGGAAGCCTGCATGGAGGAGATTCTCAAACTGAAATCCCTGCTCAGCACCAAGCGGGAACAGATTGCCACCCTGCGCACTGTCCTCAAGGCCAACAAGCAGGTAGGTTGATCTGTTTGAGTGTCTGTAAACAAAGTACTCTCAATACAAACATGTGTCATTGTCCACAAAAGTTAGAAATAGAGGTAGGGGGAATTATTTTGGGTGTGTTCAGCTGCTGAAGCAAATTCTTTGCAGTCTAGATCTATAACAAACACTGGTTGAGAGAGCAGCTGTATGGTGACAGCTGCCTCGAGTATTTGTGGTTAGATTCAGAGAACAGCTTTACAAAGCAAAAAGAACCATAACCCAGAGGCGGAGTGTGTATGCAGTTGTTTGGTAGCCATTTGAAGTATGCATGTGGCTACACAGTGGGCATTATAACACAGATGTGAAAATAACTCATAAACCGCACAGCAGGGTTTTTAAAATGAACATTAGCAGCTGAAATCATGCGCCATAATAAAAGAATTAGGAAGCATACCCCAACTTCTTCCAGGTGCTTTGACCCTTTTGTTCTTTCTGCCAATTCACAGACAGCTGAAGTGGCTCTGGCCAACCTGAAGAGCAAGTATGAGAATGAAAAGGCAATGGTGACCGAGACCATGATGAAACTGAGGAATGAGCTCAAAGCTTTGAAAGAGGACGCTGCCACCTTTTCCTCTCTCCGGGCTATGTTTGCCACACGGTAAGAATCGTGCCAGCACCTGCGTGATGGTCAAGAAAATATGTTTTATCTACATCCTGCCATCAAAGGCACAAAAGTCTTTATCTGACATAACATTGTAACCTGGTAAATTCTTTACTTATTTGATATCTCCAGAGGAGGTTGTGACAGTAGCAAGTCGTGGCATGAATTCCATACTGTGCTGCTATGCTACAGCAGTAACACAGACACGTGTCATTCTTATTAATGCTGCACATGCACAACACAAAGGTCATACACAATATAACCAGGTAGCATGAAGATAAGATTATGGTCGTAACGTAATCCATGTTTACCATATGTTGGCTTTATTTTTAATATTGAAACATGACATATTTAAGTACACTATTGTGTTGTTCATTCATAGCCAGAAATCCCTTCTATTTGTACAGATTCAGACTATAAATAACAGAAGGTGCCTAATGTGGATAACCATTGTTTTTGACCGGTGACTTGGTGTGTGTATGTCTGTCAGATGGGCCAACACGCATGTTAATCTTTTCTGATTCCAAAGAGAAGCCGGTCAAAGGTTCTGCGCATAATCCCACCTCAGATTGGGATGGATTACACATTCACCCCTCAACACGTAGTACACTAAGGACTCATGAGCTGCTTGCTTGTTTACTTTTGGGTGTGCATATGTGCATGTGTGAACAATATTTTTGTGCTTTGATGTGCTTTTTTGAGAGCTAATTTCATCTAAAACAATGATGCCTGCTCTTCCTGTAAATATTAGCTATATTCCAGAAAGCACTGCAGAGATGCTGAGACAGTCTGTCCTTCATTTAAAGCTGTATTACATTCCACAGCAAAGTTCAAGCTGTGCAGAAGGGAAAGAGAAGGGTAGGGAGAGGTGAGTTTTTACAATGAAGAGTATAATCGCTGCAGGGAGTGTGTGTGGGCAGCTCAGCACCCTTCGTCTTACCCATGCAGAAATTCAATACAGATCGCTGAAGTGCACTAGCTGAAGTAATTCCATATACCTGCAGTGTCCAATCAATTAGTAACAGTTTTAAAACTCATCCGGCTGCAAATATAGGCGTGTTGCCACAGGCTTTTTTGTATTTACTGCAGAGCTAAATTTCTGCAGGATGCTGAAGTATTATAACTAAAAAGCAACCTTGGCTGATAGGGAACCAGTTCTTGCACCGACTACCTGTTTTTGGCTTCTTCTCTAGTTTTTTTTTTACCCTGAAGGGCCCTATAGTTGTGTCATGTGTCAGAGGAGAGCAGCTGAAGTGTAAGATCATATTTGCATGTTTTTCTCTTTGAGTTTCTTTTGCCGGAGAGGGTTAAGATGTTTTTGAGCACATCACAGCTTCCTGTTTACTTCCTGTTTCAGTCCATGTGTTTTTATTCCTCCATATGCCCAGAGCAGCTCCACCGACTATGTTGTTGAGCTTTGAGCTCCAGCACCACACCACTATGTATGATTTACATTCACTGTTTATGGGACTCATGTATTGGTATGTAAATTGTGTCTTATATGACACAGTTGGGTCAGGGGACTCTTTTGAGAGGCAGGGGGACTCGCCCGAAAGAAGTTTCCCACACTCCCCCCCTCTTTGTATCCCCTGTTCCCCCTCCATCCTTCCTCACAGCCAAACACCCGCTTCTCTTGTCATGTGGAAAAGAAAGAGAGGAAGGACCAGGCCTTCAGTTAAAGCCCACTACAGGAGTCTAGTTTGATAGTTTTTTTTTCTTTCACTTTTCCAGATAATCACTGCTCACACAAAGTCTGTAAAGGAGGATTTCTGAGATGTGTACTCGTGGATTCAAATGATGTATAGTCTTTGACAAAGGGGAAGAGAGATGAAGTGGAAGTGAAAGAATGTGTGGGGCTTTTTATGGTCTTATTGTTCAGGGAATTGGCACATAATATACTCACAGGACTAAAAGACACACCAGACTTATTATTAACATTTTTGTTTTTAAAACCAATTTAACAAAACAATATTTGTGTTAACAGAAATGGCAAATAGGATGGAGTAATTCTATTTAGTTTATTTCACGAAAGCAACACAGGAATGTTTATCACGCGTGTATATGGGCTTCACTGTCCCCTCCTGTATGTGTGCCTCTGTGGCTGCAGTATCTGGTGTCATGTTAACAGTAAGCTCCTGCCTCCGACATTCCTAAGACAAGCCTCGACATGCTCGTGCCTTCTGCTCTCGCTGATTAACTGTCCGAACATTTACGCAAATCACGTTTTCTTGTAAAATGTACACCTTCAGTTATCTGGCTATTCTGGTGTTGGTTCTATGTTAGTTGTTTTCCCTTTTTAGCTTTCTTTGTTTTGGTAAAGAAGTACCTCCTCGTGTGTGTGTGTGTGTGTCTGTGTGTGTGAGAGATATCCATACCACCATGACCAATCAAGCTCTAGACGAGACCACAGCTGAGCATGTTTTGAATGTGTGTGTTTGCGTCCTATTGGGAAATTATTGGTTATGAATGTTTTAGTAGTCACAGCCTTTAAATGGCAGCAGCTACTGTAAATCGTTACAGCGAGATGTAGATAATGCGCTTGTTTGTCAGAGTGTGAATATTATGATTCCTAATGCACAAAAGGCCAGCCGTCGCCTCCTGGCCCCCTTCGGCTATTGTGCTAGAACTCCCGATCACCAGGGCAAAAAGACTCCTATTGTATCCACCCACTGCTTAGAATAGACTCCTCTTTTTTTTCCCGGGAAAAATGCCCCCCACCCCTATGCAAAAGTGACTGAACTGTCTGAAGGTGCACCAGCTCGCTTCTTGCTCCCGGGTTGTTCCCAAATCTCATACTGGGTTTAATGAGGTAGCACTGATCCCTATTGTCTGGGTGTGTGTCCCAGAGGGAATCAAGCTGCATACACAAGAGGAGGGGGCCATGGTTTGTATTTGTTTGGTGGTCTGGCAAGGCCAGGGTTCACATGGCCCACCACCACGTGCAGCACCGCACGCAGCAAAAACATCTGCGCTTCCTGTTTGCAGATGCTCCCTTCAAGACATTCTTTTTTTTTTTTTTTTTGTAAGAAAAAGCTGATAAATTCTTCACCTACTGAAAGATTATTTGCTTGCTTTGCATTATTTTTATGGATTTATTTATTTTATGTTATTCATTTATCGCTTCTGCAGCAGCAGTTCAGTTGCTAAACACTGACTAAATCGGAACAGATCGGTAATGACAGTTACGGCTCGTAGAGAAAAGAGTTTGCAGACTATAGCTTCAGGCTAGGGTGTTAACAAAAAATAAATAATAATTCATTTCAAATAAATGAAAATGAGTTGGGTGAGGCTGCCCAACAGTTAAATTGTGTCTGAACTTTGGTGCTGTACGGTTGGGCTGCTCACTAACGTATTCAGCCCTTCCCTCCCAATAGGTTTGTCAGTCATTACTGAAGAATGTCACTCGATTTGCTTTGTCAGCAGCACAGAAAACAGGGATGAGCAAGATGAGAGAGAAAGTGACTGATTCGGGCAGATAGAGAGAGACTGTAGCAAGGAAGTGACGAGGCTTGAAAGGCAATGATAAGACCCAGGAGAGCGGATAAAAGGAAACAGGAGCACGACAGCAGCAGATGGGAAGTGGCGATATGGACCCCCCACCTTGAAATCCTGTCAGGTGTCCCACTTTTTATACTTGTCCAGCTTTAGACGCACACACACTAACACGTGTGCAAGGACAGCGGGAGACAGGTGATAATGCCGCAGTGCAGCACCCGGTGATGACGAGCGTTAGTAGACAGACTTCATATCTTCTATTTCGCACACAGATGGGAGATGCAAGGGAGGCATAGAAGTTGTGCTGTCTCACTCAAACTGGAAAATTGGAGATCAGGTGTGAACAGCTACAGCTCAGAGCAATAAACCACATTCTTCTCTTCCCTGTCTTAATTTTTCTTCTCTTTCGCTCCCCTCCTGCCTTTTTCTCAGGTGATGCAGAAACGATCTTCCCTTTGACCTGTAGGCTAATGATTTCATCCCTTATGTATGTAATCTATCTTCAACTGCCACTGTGCATACATTCATATTATCCCAAGGCTCTGCAAGCTGCTCTCAGATGTCTCACCTGTTCATGAATGTAAATCATACCCTCTAGCAGCAGCTATACAAATACAAATTTTCAGTTTATGAAATGACGGGAAGTGCGGTGAGAGTTTGTTACTATATCTGGCAAATTATCTGCAGAATGTTTTAAGTGGAGCTGAAAATGTGTTCGTTGGGGGGACTTTGTTGAAGAGGACCAAAATGGCTGGTGAAGTCTTAAGTTAATATTTCAGAAGCTTGGGCAGTCTTGCAGGTCTTCATGTTGTGGCTCATGGGCTCCACCTGCTGGTGGCTAATTTATTACACTAGCAGGAAGTTTATGATGTGTGGGTTTGAATGTGTGTCTGAGTGTTTCTGTCAGTGAATCAAATCTGAGGTGCGGCATGAGGTTCGTGTTAAGTAATATCACAAAAATATCAAAAAGATTTAACAGGGGTTTTTTTTTTTGGGGGGGGGGGGTTGGCTGTTTAAGCAGTGCCCTCCTGTGATATGTCACAGGAAACCCTCTTAGTCGGTGAACAAATCTGACATTACTGTCTTCTCTGCCTGTGTTTCTCCTGCAGTTGTGATGAGTATGTTACCCAGCTGGATGAGATGCAGAGACAGCTGGCCGCAGCAGAGGACGAGAAGAAAACCCTTAACTCTCTGCTGCGAATGGCTATCCAGCAGAAGCTCGCCCTGACACAGCGCCTGGAAGATCTTGAGTTTGATCACGAGCAGACCCGTCGGGGAGGCAACGCAGGCCGTGCTAAAGCTCGCAGCAAGGCCGCCGGCACCGCCAGCGCCGCTGCTGCCACCACCACCACCACCAACAACAACCCGCATGTAAGTCAGAGTCTCACCTGCTCTGTCTCGGGCCGACCAGAGCACAGCAGTTCTGTGCCCAGCGGCATCCTGGGAGGCCCCGTGGTCTTCTGCAGCGAGAAGTACAAGATCTACTGCGACTGAGGCGGCAGAAACCTCCGCACGGGACTGCTGTGTACAGAGGGGAGGGGGCTCACGGGCCGAAACCCTCCCTGCCTTAGTGTTAAAGAGCCCCACTTGCTCGCTTAGCTCCATGGCCAGCCTGCGCTCCTCTAGGGACTGATGTGTTACTAACCAGCTGCTCGTGTGTGCTACTATAAACGCTTAGGGGAATGCAGTGTATGTACAGTGTGCACTAGACGTTTGGACTGTAGTAGACATATTTGGCATGTGGGTTATAAGGCCCTGGTTATATTGGGGGGTTTGTGGATATTATGGGTTGTCTATTCTTTCCGCTGTCATAGTGCTGTACGTATGATGTAAAAGCTGGCAGCTTCTGTGCTTGTTTGTTCTGGCCCCCCGGAGTGGCTTGCCTGGTCACATTAACACATTGCTGAGGTGGAGACGTGTAAAGATGATGTCACTCTGATGCTCTAACAACTAAACCTGACATCCTCTGTTCTTTGGCTTGTCTGTCGGCATTGGTGCTCCTTTCCGAATAAATAAAACGGCCCCTTCTTTCCTCTGCCTCTCCGTCCTGGTCCCCCCAGGACCGAACCGTGCCCGGCAGCCCACTTTCTAATGTTTACAACCAGAAAAAGGAACTAGAATATGCAAGCTCCCTCTGCTTTTTTGCTAGGGGAGCATAATATGATTTTACACAGAAATACAAAAAAAAAATCATAAGTGGGTCAATGAAGTTGTTTGGGCAGAAAAGGAGCACTTGTGACCACATTTGTTTATTTCAGGTTAATTTTAAAGCTGTGACGCTAGCACACCAATACTATAGGGTCAATAGAATCGCATGGCTTTGCAGCTGAAAATGCTTGAGAGCTTTTTAACTGTTTTTCTGTTGTTAGGTGTGTGGTACCAGACAAAACTCTGTACTACAGGGCTCTACATTGTTTTTTGTTTTTTAAAAAGAAAAAAGGAGTTAATTGGTGTGATACAAGAGGGCTGTGTAATCCCTGTGACCCATTATTGTTGCAAAGGATTCATTCAGAGCCATATTACGAGAAAGAAGGTTTGACAAATCGACACATCTAAATTAAGTGCACTTCAGCATAGGTGCCTCAGGTTCCTGCTTCTGTTCAAATGGATATAATGCTTACTGTGAAAAGAGATACAATATAGTTTTAATCAGAGAGGATTTTTTAAAAAAAAAACTCTATAGAATAAATCCTTGAAGAGCACAAATCGAAACTGTTCACACATCCGGACAATAAATCTGCAAACAAATCCAACCGACCGCTCGACAAAAGTGCCTGTCGACCCCAAACGCTTGATATTTTTATCTATTTGTTGATGTAAAGCCCTGTCCTTGCGTCTCAGCTGAGCTAATGCTTTTCCTTCTCCCTCCCCCCCCCATCCCCTGCCCCGCTGTTTGCGAGATTGCTGAGAGCTGTCAAATGATTTCTATGTGGTTACGTGGCTGGAAAAAAAAAGAAGTCCTCTCCTAATGTCTCTAATCTGTGTCTCGTTGCTCGGTCGCTACTACGACCTTCTCTCTTGTAGATTGTCAGCAGCTTGCTCCCCCAGCATCACCACTCACCCTTTAACTAGAATGAGGAATATTTTTGTCAGGTAACGTCCTCGCATACGATGTGTTTTCCGAATTTTGCCTGCGTTTATATCTCAGTGTTGCGGTGAAGGGCCTTCATTTGTGTACAAGGTTTTTAACCATTGAAATGAAGGGCCTCTCTTGTTTGTTTTCTTGGGTTGCTTGGTGTGTGAGGACAAAGCAACGTACTGTTTTAGTATTGACAATAGCTTTAACCCCTTGCAAGCTAGTATTACGCAAATAGGCAAAATTTAAGTGGGGCTCGTGTTTAATAAAGTCCATGTACCGCTTGTGGATCATAGACACATTAGCTTTATGATGCTAAAAGCAGGGTTGATGTGAGGAAATCCTGCAAGATTTGTTTAAAAAAAATAGCATTTTCTACTACTAATAAGCTATATATAAAATTCTCTATATTCTTAATATGATCATGTTCAGGTTATAATCTTGCAGGTTTCTACTACAGTATTCCTTCCTCTTAAATGCATATACAATGGGCATTTATTCCTCTGAACACAGGGAATTATGTCTGCAGTCAACCCTGCTTGAGTGCGCATCCGTAAGCCGCAGCACACAGCATGGAGACGAGGCTATTGTACACTTTCTGAAAAAGGAAAAAAAGCCCAGCCTCCTTAGAGGTCAGTCACTCCTATGTTTGAAGTTCAGTCAACTTACAAGTGCGGTATATTCTGTTTCCATCAGTTTGCGCTGAGAAAAAAGGTTTAGGGAGTAGAGGAGGGAGAACTAATCGTGTTGTAAACCAGCTCCTGAGAGAGGAGATAAGAAAGCTAAACATGCTGGTGAAGAAAGCCAGATGTGTGGCTGGATGGAGAATCTAATCCAGGGGTGCTTTTCGTTACGCATGCTTATCTCCTTGGGAAAGTTTATAATTTAAGGAATTGGAAGATCCTACCATGATACTTAGAGACATGAGAATAGGCTGGCATAGCGAAAAACACCCCGTGATATTTTTTTTCTTTATTCTTTTATTGAGGGATAAACTCCCGCTGATATTTGGAGGAAAAAAAATCTTGAGATTGGTTGCTCGCTCAACCAGAGGACATTGATTCAAATTAGTTAAGCTCCCAACCGTATCCCTTGTATAGGTTATGTGGATTTACTGAGCAGTAGATGATTGCAGGATGTGATTGTGACTAGAATCCCCTCTCCTTATAGATAGACTAATCCCCACTTCGCTCGATCTAGTTTGAAATCAATGTCTGGCTTTTTTGGTGTCATTTCAATATGCCACCTAAAATAAAACAGCAAAGCTCCTCCTACCTCTGCCTGCAGGCTCCTCCCACATCACCTCTAAGTTTTACTTCACATGATGCATCTTGTTTCTGATTTAAAAGTAAGCCTGCATGTCAAAAGCATAACCCATTTTTCATTAACTTGCATGGCTAATGAGAAAGACCCATCTCCTTTGGTGGTGAGGCTTCAACTCTGTCCTATGAATGAAAGTTCATGGTACTCGTGAGTCACTGGCTTCCTAACTGCACCTGCGGGATGATTTGCAGTGAATGCGCTTTCACCCCAGAAACTAAATGGCCATACTGGCCGGCTTAAAGTTCCTAACATCGCTTTCTGTTGCTTTGACTAACCAACAGCCGCCATCTTACTTTGTCTGCGTGGACTCCGCTGCTGTGACCTTGTAAACAGTCACTCTCAAATGACCAAAACCAAGTGCTAATGATGCTCATTATTTGTTTGTTTCTCCACTTTTGCAGTAATTTCAGTAATTCTGCACGGACGACGAAGTACCAACACAAGGTCCATTCTCGCAGCTGATTGAGTTGGGCGAAACGAGTTAGCGCTACTCTAGGCTATTTGGACTTGAAGAAAAAATAAAACGGCAAAAACCTAAGTACAAACGTTAAGCACAGGTTTTTAATTTGAATCAATTGTCCTCCCCTTTTCATTTTAAAATTCTGTTATGTTATGCACATTAGGATCACACTTGGTCCAAATTGTGGATGCCTCTGCTGGAAGCCATTTTTGCCTCGCAAGTACAGTGAACTTCTTGGCTTGTAATTGGCCAATCCATCCAAATCCTCTATCGAGAAGCCAAGGGAGATGTGGTCGTTTCTTATTGTTAATCAACAAGCTGTTTTTGTTTGGTTTTATCTCTTATTTTTAGTTTATTGTTTTGTTAATCTGTGCACTTTCATTTTATAGGATTATAACATGCTATTATTAACCTATAGGAAAGCATGGTAGTACAATGGTTTGTTGAGTTATCCAATATAGGTTGGAGGACTGTAGTAGTGAAAGTCCTCCTCAAATATTTGAATTTAAACAATACGCACTACAGTAAGGCTCCACAAACCACAATTGTACTATGATGACTCTGTCCTCAAGAATTTATCCATCAAATAATCATTTTAAAATCGTTTTGTTACATCGTGTTATGCTGTTGCTTTTGTTTTTCATATGTTTGTTCTACTGCCATGTTCTCTACAAAAATCCAGGGTGATCAAATTCTGGGGTTTTTTCATGTATTTATTATTCCTAGGAATAGTTCAAAAATTACACTATGAAACTTGACAACGCTCTGACTCAAATAGGTAAGTTGTGTCTTGGGAAAAATTTGCGTGACGACGATATGTGCTTTTCCTAGCTTCTTACCGAGGGCGTTCCACTGAAACGGGATCGCTGGCTTTCAGAATTCTTTGCAACTGCGACAATTAAAATTCCAAATTGGAATTGTTTCATTCTCTCTTTGTTTATTGTGCCAAATCTTGGTACACCGTTTAGGTTGAAAATGAGAAAAAGAATCGGAAAGAAGAAGAAGAAAAACTAAGAAAGGTGCAGTTTGGGCCATGGCTCTCGCTGCCGTGCGAGAGCCGGGGTTTTGTTTTTCGGTTCGTTTTAGTTCTTCGTTTCTGACCAGTAGTGCCTTTCATTGTTTCAAGGGAGAATCTTAGACTAGTGTTTTATGTTTCTGTTTTTTATATATAGGTGAGGACTTTGGGTTCAAAATGACTGTGAGCAGCAATAAGCGCAAAGGGAATTTTCCCCCCTTTTCTGCATGAGTGAGGTGATAGTTTTGAAATTAGCTCAATAAAACTCAAGTTGTATTGAATTCTGCAGGTCAGTGATCCCCTCGAGAAATTCAGGGGTATTGAGAAAAGTTTTTTTTTTGTTTTACTTTATCAAACATTGGGAACCAAAAGAGATCCCTTTGGCCTCCTGTTATTGAACAAAGTGCTCCAAGCATCTTTAATGTGTTGGGGTAGATCAGTGTACTATTGGAAACATCTATGTATCTCTAGCTTTGTTTGGTGAAGGTAATGTGATATCAATAGTATTGTTAAAAATGTGCAGAGAGCGCATTTTATCTTTACTTTTGTCTAATTTGACTTTTGTTTGTTTTGTTGGGTTTTTTTTTATTCTTGAATCTTTTTTTTTTTACATCATCTTTGGTGTTTTCAGGAAACAGAAAACAAGATTAGCATCAACAAGCTTGAATAGTGCCATTATAGCCAATGCTTGTTTGTTGAGGCGTTAAAGTTACCAATATGGATAAGAAGCTAACAAAAAAGTGCAATTCAGATACTGTTTTACATTAAAAAGAGAAAGTTTTCTGTTTGCTGGAAGCGATAGCATTGTGATACTACAAAAAATAGCTGTGCAAACTTTATATTGTCATATTGTGTTTCAGTATTGATCCATAATGAGAGTTTGATATCTTTATATGAAATAACGACTTCACCTGTATTTATTTGAACTGTCATGCAGTACTGTATTCTTATCAATAATGTGCATTATGATTAGTGGCATATTGATTACAGCTAAACGTCATATGCATGTTTCTCAGTCATGGGACCTTTACACAGAGTTGAAAACAAACATGTTAAAACTTTTGTCGGGGTGTTTTTAAAAGAGAGAAAATAAAAAATTAGGGCTTGGGGCGGGGACCAGTTAAGTCTGATGTATTACTGCTGAACTAATCCTATGAAAGTGTTTTGTTTGTTTTCTAGTGGAGATGGTATGTCTGTGTAAGGGTAGTCATACTGGCTAAAATCAATAAATGTGACTTAAGTTCCAGCGTGTTTCAGTGTTGTTATTTATAGCTGCTCCACAGCTGAAGCGGATGAAAGGGTTAACCATTGAAGTATGTGGTCTGCAGCCCTGGAGTCTCCTCATAGCGTTCCCAGTTGGAAGCCAGGGGAAGGGGGAACTTCCCAGCTGTCCAAGCGGCTCCAGGAACCTGATCACATTTCACACAATGCACAAAAACACCTCCACCAACCCCCCCCCCCACATCCCCCATCCCTACCCTGTCTGTTCTCTGCTGTATTGCTTAAACCTTGCCCCTCCCTCTTCTGCCCCCTCCATTTCCCGTTTCTTTCTCCCCCTCTCCTCCACTGTCCCTCCCTCCTGGAGATATGCCCAAGCACTGATTGGTCCCAGTTTCTTTTTTGACCTTTGGTACACTCAGCATTTCCTGTCGAGGCTCTGGAGGCCGGCTCTCTGCTCAATTAAAACTGCTGTTATTTTCTTGGTGTTGATTTACAAGAGGAAAGTATGAACATTACTTTATGCCATTTAAAAAAAAATCTACACATTAATGACAATAAAGGGGAAAAATTGAGATTTTTATTTATGCAAATGAAACCAAATAAATAGATGGACTAACTGTTATTGATCCATTCACTTTAGAGGTCAAAATGTTGTATGGATGTTTTAAACTTCATCTATAAGCGCTCTGAATGTGCAGATTACTCCAAATGAAGAAGTGAAAAAGCACAAGGTTGACCCTCTGAGTAAGAGGGCTAAATATTCTATACTTTGAAAGCTCAGATGCTCTTAGGTGCTTTAAAACCATCTTTTTTGTCCACCCAGATCAAGTTTACTGTCAATATTAAGTCAAGGCTCCCTCTCTTTATTTTTTTTTTCTTCTGGTTTGGTTAATTCTGTATTTCTTCCTTTTAGAATATTCAAATATTTATTGTTATTTATTACTTTATAAAAACATCCGATTCTCTCTAGAGCTATTCTCACACTCCTGTCATTGTTCATTCTCCTCCTTTAGAGCTATGTGGGCATTTCTCAGATTGCTTCCAAAACATTCCTACTTTCTGATGAAAGTAGTTCTAAGTTCATTTAAAGTCTCTGATAGACATTTAATATTTAATCCAAATAAAAGGTCTAGAAAGAGTTACGAGCTTATTTCGCCTTACGAAATTGTGGAATATCATCTTGACACGTTGGATACAGTTTACCAGAAAAAGCGCTGGCAATTTAGCAGTAGCATGTTTGCCTTGTGCCCTACACCGTTTGAAAATTAAGACAGCAGAAGCAGAGATACTCTTACTCTTGTCCTTTCCACCACTGCTTTTGTCAGAACTAAAGTATGCAGAACCATTTACCTTTTTGGTAAATGTATTAAAAGTAATGTGAGCATTTTTAACAGTAAATTTACTCTCTGTACTTACTTACTATATCAGTGTTTTGCTATTATTTAGGGAGGGGGGGGCTGCTATGCATTAATGTGTAGGTTTTGATATGCAAATTACAATAAATGACTATGTGATATAGCAATTACTTAGTCTTCTTCTTCCTTTGAGGAGTGTGAAGCACTGAAGTTCTGCCTGTGAATAAGTGCACTAGAAATATAAAGAGGCATAAAATATAAATCTTCAAAGTAGACACACCTAGAATTTGTATTTACATGCAATACTTAGGAAATGTAATCATTTACATCGAGTCAAAATAAAAGTAAAGCACCACTGATCAGTCCACCCTACAGCTTTGTCCCGCTGACAGTCCTATATATAATATATACTGATTTCAGGTTTATATATAATAAAGGTTTATATATAATAAACCTGAAATAAGTTAATATTAATGCTTAGTTGTGTCACTAAAAGACAGTGCTGTGAATCAGTACACTTAAACCAAGTGCTATCATTTACCATTCATGTCCTGCTGATTTTTCAGCATCAGAGAATTAATGATAGCCAGTCGGGAGAAGTCAGTTCACTGACAAGCAATGACATCACTCTAGTAACAGTGGAGCCTTTGTTGGTGCCAGTCTTCCATTATCCCCCCCCCCCCCCCCCCCCCTTACTGCCTGAGGAAATATGGGTCACTACATGGCATCAGTCTTGTTCTATTAATACTCAGCTGCTGCGATTATACCCAGGATGAAGAAGGATTCATGCAGCAGAGCAGCTGTTTTCACTACTCAGTTGATGCACTATCTATATTCACCACCTGGGGTCCCCATGCTACAACTGTTGACGTCTTTGTGAGCTGACCGAGTAACTGTAACTCTTCCAGTAACTGTGAGAGCTGCAGGCCTTAAGGGGGAGAGGGTGCGCTTCTTTGCACTTACAAAGAGTCTCCTTTATGAGTGTGCGCCGGGGCTGTCATGTGATGAATCCATGTGGAGCCTGAAGGAGCAGAGAGCTTTGATCAGCTGGTCTGAAAGAGCAACGGCAATCATCAACACCGCACGCGCCTCGTGTGGATTCAAACACACACGTTAACACATTTCTAAACAACCCCACCGGAGGAGAAATAATACCAGCGAGAATCTTAAGCAATTTATGACCCGTGGAGTGTGAGCTCAGCTTCACGATGAATTCAAAAATTCCTGAGTCCTGACACTGGATGCAGGGTGTGAGCGTCCTCCCTATTGTGACTCATAGATCTGTCTGTAGTATCTCCACGCAGCTGCTGGTGTGGTCCCAAAAAATGCAGCTTCGCCTGTGTCAAACAATGAAGTGTTGATTCAATCAATACCAGGCTTTAATTTGCACCTGAAAAAGAGTGAACAAATGACGACTGGCACCCAATTCTGGAGTGTGATTATCATGTGATTGGGACATTTATACCATGGCACTTTCAGATGAGTGTAAAAAGATCTGTGGAGCTCGTGTCACACTTATCTATGCTGACTTTCGCACCAAGCTTTCTGCTTGGCTGCTCATCTGCCACTCTGCTTTTCTTCCTCTCTTCATCCTAATTGCCATTTTTCACATCCTCCTCTGTCTCTCGCTTCCCCCAGTCTCTCATTTTCCTCTTTCCTCCGTCTCTCTGAATGCAGTTGTTTCACTCTGCTCTGTGGTTTTGAGTGGAGGAGCCCCGGGGAAGCAGAGCACAGGATGTATCCCAGAGGACTGTTTGGTGCTCTATTTTCTATGGACCAGCATGCCCTAGAAAGACAGACAGACAGGCCGAAAGACAGGCAACTCCATGCACCCAAGGGCACTGGGCCCCCGATCTATTTAAAAACACAAATCCAGTCATCCACAAAACACTTGGCCTTTCAGACTCTGCACTGACATGTTCAGAACTTTTCTCTAAAGCAAAGAAAACGTACAAAGTTACAGTAAAAGAAGAATATTTTGCTGCTCTTGTGTCTTTAAAGTGGAAAGCCGAAAAGTGGAAAATGTGTGATTCAATAGTGTAGTCACAGAGGTCATATACATGTGGGAAGAGAGGAATGAAATATAATGTGTATTCACTGCTTATTAGAGAGGAGCACGGGTCAATGAAGCAGCCTTCTGCCTGGCAAGCAGCCAGACAAAGAGGTGTTATCATTAGAAGCCCTGCTGTTGTCTGTGTGGATCTGAGGCTCGTGACAAGTGTGAAGCACCAACAGTGGCCTTAAAAGGGGTTAATGGTGCGTAGCTGAACAGACACAAGTTTCAAATATGTGGGTGGGAGGCTGCACAGAAACACAGAGAGAGGGCTGTGGAAAGTTATTCGCTACAGGATCCTGAAAATTAGGGAAAAATAAAAAAAAAAAAATCAAAATGATCACTGAGAAGCAACAGTAATGTGCTAAAAGTGTATGCGTTAAGCACAAAATGAGTCCATACTACTATAATCCCACAATATTAATACATTATTAGCTCGTGCAGTTTCATTTTTTCAGCCTACAGGTGTTGGGCGGTATCCAGGGAGTTTAAAGATAAATCTCATGGATGTGATATGAGTAAATGTTACCCTTATTTTCTTGCTTCATTACTTACATATTAGACATGTTTATCTTTTGGCTCGTCTGAAAAGTTTAGACATTCAGTACAAGTACAAGAGTAAGAGGTGTTGAAGGAAAAAAGTAGTCAAGCTACATATGTGCTTCATGAGTAAATGTTCTTAGTTATATTTCACTACTGCAGACTGCAGACACCCCCGGTGACCTTTCCTCATCGACTGTATCAAGTGGAGGTTTAGATTTAGGGGATGCTTATAATATCCTTATAATATGAGAGCTTAACTTCTGCAGATCCATGATTTGTTTTCTGCTTCGGTTCCTTGTTTCCTTCAACAAGCATTCACCGAGTCAGCAGATGTTTGATGAGACAGAAAAACCAACTGAACCAATTAAAAGATGAGGAGAAAGCCTGCTCAGTGACATGGAAATGCAGTGCCAGTTAGTGTTCATGTTCCAGAAACTATTTCCTAACTAATAGGGAGATGTGGGGATTTCAGAGCAGAACCATCTACTGAAATAGGCCTCATCCTTTTCATGGCTTCATGTGACAACTCATGCCTCTGTCCCAGGGCATGTCAAATGCACAAGGATAGAGGGTCTACTTTTAAAAACGGACAAAAAAAAGAAAGAAAAATGATAAAACGGTGAGCCAAAAAGAAGAAAAAGAAAAAACAAAAAGCTTGATTAGTTTGTAAAAAGATAAAATTATCATTAGTTTTTTTTCCTCCAGCGCTTAGCTTTGACTGCACTCAATGAATGGGGTTGTAGTGCTCGCGCCTCGCACCGGCGGGAACGCGCATTTTCTTTTCTTCCAGCGGCACAGAGGAGAGACTTCTGTCTGTCAGAGGGAGGAGAAAGGACTATATGGAGGAATATAAACCTCTTATTCTGCGCAAAACTGATTCGGATAACGTCTCTCGCGTCTGTTAAGAAGCCATGAAGTCACCATAGTGGGTCTGTGTGTATTTTTTTTTAATTTTTATTTTAGTCGGCGAACAGGAAAAGTGAAGCTCTGAAGTGCAGGCGCTCCTCCGAGTTTAGCCCACAGTACGCTGGATCCACGGCTGCTGCTGCTGCTGCCAGTTGCTCCGAGAAAAAG